ATTTTCCTTTTTCTAGGAATTGATTTAAACCATGCCCATGATATGGGGGATCGTAGAGCCACCCATGTGTATTTATCTTTGATATCAGGTGAGTTAGCCTGCAAATGACTCCACCCGAGGGTAAGACATGGGAAGAGTGAATTTAATGGAGCTGTTATGCCTAAATGGTTTGAAAGACAAATGGGCCCACATGCCAGATATTTTACTCATATGTATATATGTATACAATATGTTTTGAAAAGGGGCAGCTAAGAGTTATGCCCATAAATATACTATCACCCTATGTTGAGGGTCTCATGTGAGACATGTTAGTTACATTACATACAGTTTTCCCTCGCCAATACTTTTTTGTAGTACTGACCCCTCGGGGGGACCACCATTTCAGGTTGAAGCTAAAGCTTACTTCCTGCACCTGTTGTTCGTGAGATCGATGGAGAGAAGATCGATGTGGTTCGTGCTTCCTCTGGTTCTGTTACTAAATAATTAAATAATGCTCATGGAACTATTTTGACTTATAAATTAATGGAGCCTGCGAGCTCTTGTTTTGCCCTGGTGTGAGTTCTTATTAAACACTTATATTCCGCTATGTGTTTAATTGTATGTTGATGTTGTTATGTATGTTTACTAATCGATTTTGGCATATGTATCTATCAGACGTCTTGGGAAATTTAGTAAGGATGAACTGGAGTTATTTCTTATTGGATTGTACGGTGGTACGTTGTCTACGTGGCACAGACGCAGTTTGGGACGTGACAAGGGGAATCTCATCCTTTGTCTCCATATAACTTATTTTGGAGGTCCCCAAAGTGTACTCCATTGTCCCCTCTACTCAATTCCCTATCTACCATACCTCATTGTACAAAAATAGCCCCCCTTTGTTGGACATTTTCTTGAGGTGGACCCCTTTAGGTGGGTGATCATCCCCTTTGCACCTAAATGGCATTTTGGGTCCCGAAAGTTGTAGCTTTTAGACTGTTTTAATTGTACTTCTCTTTATTATACCAAATTAATTATATATTAGTCTTTTCATTCTTTTGGGTTCATAGAATAGTTACATTTTTCTAATATTAATTTGATAGCCTTCTGAATTATTAATCTTGAGATTCTTGAGAAATTGCAACCATTGGACGGTGACCCCCTGCTCGGCCGTCATGTTGCCGACTTGATATCCTTGGAGTCTACGCCCCATTCCTATTGTCATGTTAGTATTAATTAGATCAACATTTATATTATAAGTGGTCTCGATGTATCTCGGGTGGTCTCCGTCCCCGATGTGGGTCCCAAGTGTTATTTACCGTACCTGTAAAAGTTAAGCCATAAAAACAAATCTACCACACCTTCATATCAAGGTGCATGTCACGTCTAATTCACCCAATGTTATTTGTGAACATATTCGGGGATGGTTTTACACCTACTCCCCTACGTGAGCCCCACGCCTGATTTAATATTCTTTTATTAATTTAAGATCAGAAATTAATTATCTTTCTCATTTTTAAGATTATAATTAGTCTTGATTTACCATGTTTAACTCCATATTTGATGGAACAAATTTCTCCGGGTGACATTCGGGGTCCGGTGTTACACAACTAATCACGAGTTTTGAAAAAAGAATATAATAATAGTGACATAAAAATTAAAAGTGTATACTTGTGTGATGACATAAAAATTTTACCATGACATTTTTCTTTACTAATTAAAAATTAACTCAAAATTAGGATGGCTCAATATGCTAAAATTAGAGATGTATCACTAATAACATAATGGAGTAATTTGAGTTTGCACCCCATTTTGTTGTCCAAATTGAACTTTGCACCCCGTTTTTAAAAATCTTTGTTTTTTTGCACTCCAACCCCGTATGAAAGGATAAAAATGCTTCTCCATTAACAATTCTGTTGGCCTTCAACATGTTCCTGATCGAGGGTCATTTTTGTCTTTTCATACGAGGTTGGGTTGCAAAAACACAGTTTTTTAAAAATGTGGTACAAATTAAAGTCCAATTTAGACAATAAAATGAGTTGCAAACTCAAATTATCCCTAAAGTAATAATAATATCAGACTCATCATAGTTACCCATCTGCAAAAAAAATTGTTCTAATGGGATTTATAAATTAATTTCAAGAAAACAGTATCTAAAGCTCAATAAGATTTAAAAATGGCGGCTGATGACCTCAAACCCCACACTCAATTAAACAAATTGTGTAATTTGAATTATTGGATTAATTAGTGCGACAACTCATGGTAGGGAAAATTGACGAGGATACGTATTACAAGTATCAAAATAGAGGCCAAGACAATTATTTTTCTCAAGAAAGACTCTCACTCTTACGCATGGGGAGTTATTTGGCTTTAAATAGGAGCTAAACTCCTCTTTTTTTCACACAATCAAGTCACTAAATAAAGTAAACAAACTCATCAAAATACACAGAGCTCATTTGGTTCAAAGAATGTCAGATTGCGAGAATGTTAGATTGTTGGGTATGCTAGATCGATAAGAATGTTTTCAATTTATTTGTTTGGTTAAGGTAAAGCAATATAACATTAATTTGTTTGGTTCAAAGATATCTTATATTGTAGATTTGATGAATTATTTCAATGCTCTTTAATTTTTTTCTCGTAGCACAATATAATTATTACGACCGAGTTTCCCCCCGGAATAATGCTAACTAAATAAATAATTTCCAAAATACTGCTGGATTAACCGGGATTAAGGAAAGCCGCCACTTGAAGTGGTGACTTTTCTCTTAACAGTACAAGAACCGCCAAAATTAAAAAACTTTTGTTTTCTTTGAAGTGCTATAACTTTTTTATTTGTACTCTCATTGTTACAAAAAGTATACCAAAATTCATAATTTTTTATTATCTTTCATATGACACCAATATTGAATATACAAAATCAAAAAATACTTTAACACTATAAAATTATTATGTATCTGTTTTTAAAGTGTTACATATATTTTATTTGTATTCCGATCATTACAAAAATATATCAAAATTTATTATTTTTTTATAGGGAAACAATGTTTCATATAGAAAAATATAAAGAAAATATATTTATTCGTGTAGTTTAGATCTTTTTTTACCATGCACTCCGGATGTTTATATATTCAATATTGGTGTCATACAAAATAAAACATCATAAATTCTCGTGCGAAAAATAAATAAATATGATGGAGTTCGTGTAATTTTGTTTTAATCTATCACTCTTGATTAATTTTGTGCATGGTAAAACACGATCCTAAACTACACAAATGAATATATTTTCTTTTTATTTTTCTATACGAAACATTGGTTCCTTATAAAAGATAAAAAAATTAATGTATTTTTTGTAATATTCGGAATACAAATAAAAATATATATATATATACCACTTTAAAAACAGATACACAATAATTTTTAAAGTGTTAATTTTTTTTTTGATTTTGTATATTCAATATTGGTATCATATGAAAGATAATAAAAAATTATGAATTATGGTATACTTTTTGTAACAATCAGAGTACAAATAAAAAAAGTTATAGCACTTCAAAGAAAAAGATTTTTAATTTTGGTGGGACCATTATCATATATGGTTGGGGCATTACATCTATGTTACGTTCGTGAGAAGGGTAATTTTTAATAAAGGCGCACACTTCAAGTGGCAGCTCTTGTACTGCTAAGAGAAAAGCCGTCACTTCAAGTGCCGGCTTTCCTTAACCACAGTTAATCAACAGTATTTTGAGAATAATTTTCAACTCAACAGTATTTTGATAATTATTTATTTAATTAGCATTATTTCGGGAAAAACTTACAACGACCTACATTTAAAGTAATATATATATATATATAAATTGAAGAAAAAATGAAATATCTCAATAATAAATAAAATAAAAATAAATATAATCATTTTTAAGCGAAGTATGTTTAATTGTAAAACATTGTGGATCAAATACAAAAATGAAAAAAAACTTTGTTCATACTGTATTCTAAATATATTTACCTATCATTTAAAAAAGGTTTTAAATTTAAAAGGTTCAAGTTATTCGTAAAAGTAATTTTCAAATAAAAATGACCAATTTTATCATTAAATATGGAAATCCCTCATAAAAAATCTAACTAATCTACAAGTCTTATAACACAAATATTTTTCAAATTTATATGTTAAAGGAAAAAGAATTATGCAGATAATAATTATAGATGACGTACGAATATAATTAAAAAAACATACTCCATCTATCTCACTTAAAGGTTGTCAGTAATAAGATTTTTAGTAAATAAAATGTACTGCGTACGCATTCAGGAACTACATTAAAAATTTAATAAAGTCGCAAAAAAAATAATTTTGATAAAGTTTAATATATAAGTAAAAAATTAAGAATAATTTATGATGATCGGAGGATAGTGACCGAGAATTTTTAAGTGGGTACTAAAAGTGTATTATCATAAGATGAAGGTAAAATATGGCGAGAAAGATTTTAGTTTCGAGTGGACGATGAAAGTGTCGAAAATAAATTAACTGAAATGAAATAATTAATTTGGAATGTATTGGGAAGAAAATTAAGACATTTCCAAAAATGTCACATAACCTAAAACATCAAAACACAACTTTCTCAAATCAAAGAGCTCACTAAGGGGTGTTTGGATCTGATTCTTAAAACTACTTCTGCTCCTTCAGGGAGCAGAAGCAGAAGCTGGAGTGTTTGGATGAAAGTGTAGAAGTGATTCTGGTACTCAAATTTACTCCTAGAATCAGTTTTTTTAGAAGCTGGGGGTGACCAGCTTCTGAAAACTGATTCAGATTCTGCTTCTGCTTCTGCTTTAAAAAAAGAAGAAGAAACAGAATCAGTTCCAAACACTCCCTAAGTTTGAAGAAACTTTTTTTTTTTTAATTCAAGTGATTGAGCCCATTTCGGGCGTGAAGTCTTTAGGCAATTTCCCAAAGTAATTTAGGACCTAAAATATTTTAGGCAATTTTCCTAAAATCATCCCACCTAATATTGGCCGATTGTCAACAAAGTGGGATTGGGAATTTGAGGCACATATTGGGTGCGTGTGGATAAAACGCGTATCATCGCCAATCAGAATCCAAACTCATCTTTGAATCTGACAAACCCTTGGCTGACCTGGTATTTGGTCAAACTCTCCCACGCCCCTCCCCATAAAATTCCTCCCGAAACCAATCCTCGGCGACTCAGAAACACTTCCATTGCCGCCACACGCCCCGCCGCCCTCCCCAGCCGCAACTTTCTCGGCGGAATCGAAATTCACGGTTCGTGTCTTAGGAAGCGCTGGGTTCTGTGCACGAGCAATGGCGGTCTCGAGCGCGCTTTTAGGGACCAAACTCGAGACTTTGCTTGTCGGCCACGCCGCCGCTTCGATGCCGGCGGCTTCTCAGGCGTCATTCCGGGTGTTCCGCAAGCCATTTCTAGCTTCGAGAGGCCCGTTCAATTCGGCAATCCGTTGCCAGGTGTCGGATGCTGTGACCCAATCTCAGAATGTTGTATCGGAAGCTTCGGCTTCCAGCCTTTCGGCTCTCGAGCTGCTCAAGACATCTGCTGGAGACAGTATGTTTCAGTTCTCATTTTTATGTCAACTTGCACTTCTATTCTATGTTAATATGTTATGGCAGATCTCAATATAGTGGTTCATAATAATACTGGAAAACACCTTGTTTTTACTTCTATCTAGGGAATTTTTTTACTCCGTAATTCTTATGTGATATTAGGCTCCATTTATGGAAAAACTGGAATTGTTTCCCTATATAATGCTTGACCAACAAAAACAAATAAATAAATGAAACTGACTTCCAATTTTCTGAAAAAAATAAAGGATCCAGGAAAATATTTTGCTTCTTAGAAACATTTTCAGGATCCTGTCAAAGGAAAATCCAAAAAACATTTCGGTAGAAACTATTTTTATTTTTTTAGTGAGTCAAATGGATCTCATGTCTTGATTTGAGTTGCCGTTTGCTATACTACGCATCAATATTTCCCCTCCCATTCTCTAGAAAAGAAACTTCACAAGTATTTGGTATGCAGAATGAATAGTGGCCATCTGCTTTTGTATGTTTGAAAGCTTCATCACTTGTAGAGTTGTAGGACTATTCCCCCACCCAAGTGTATCTGTAGGGTAGAATGTAGTTGGGAGCTTATACTCTTGCTGTGTCCAATATTTTAGAAGAATACTTAATTTCAATTTCAAGAGCTGTTCGGAAAGTGATTTTGATTCATTGTCATGCATGATTGAAACGTCTTCTTAAGCTCGTGGCTTTGGAAATTCACACACAGTTAATGTGATGCAGGGTACACAAAGGAAAAGAGCAGTGTCGTTGTTATTGGGCTCAGTGTCCACACCTCACCAGTTGAAATGCGTGAAAAGTTAGCTATTCCTGAAGCCGAGTGGGCTAGAGCCATTGATGAGCTCTGCAATTTGAATCATATTGAAGAAGCTGCTGTTCTTAGCACCTGTAACAGGATGGAGATATATGTGGTTGCTCTTTCTCAGCATCGGGGTGTCAAAGAAGTTACTGAATGGATGTCAAAGGTAGATATTTTTCTTTTCAGGTGCTGGCATAACTTTTTCCTCTCACTGACTGACCAATTAAAAAGACATAAAACTATTTTGTTTTCCTTACTCCTGGCACCTGCAATGGTCACACACGGAAATAGCCTTCCTGCATGGTTTGCTCCTACTTTAGGGATTTGGTGGAAGCTAAGGGCCTGTATACTAACAAGAATATTTTCTATTTTTCCGGAAACTGGAAACAGGTCTACCTGTTTATTCTGCAAAATTGAAAAAATGAGACATGTCTCTGGTTTTCTTATTAAATTGGAGAAGTCACTTTTCTGTATTTTTTGAAATAGAAATATGCCGGGCTACAATGTGCCCTGTTAAACTTTGCCTTCCCTCCGCCTATCCTCATTAGTCATTACTACTTCGCTAAAGGATTCAAGATTTTTATGCTCGGAAGGACAATTGAGAATAAGTTTCTAGTGTTATGCCAAGGCTATAACTGCAACAAATAACACAATTTTTTAGATAACGTTAAATACACTTTGTTTCACGCTCCGGTACCGATCACGATATGGTTTTGAAAAATCAAATGGGAAATAGAGGAAATTTGGAAATCGGAACATATAAACTATTCATTTTACCATTACCGTACAGTTCTAAACTAATCCATGACTCAAACTTCAGTCAACTTCTAACTTTATTTCAATCGAATCTGTGACTTTAAACCTTCGGCTAACTATTAATTTTACCATTACCATACAAATTTAACCAAATCCTTAACCCTCAGTTTTTAGCTATTGGCTTTTTAGTTTTCATTTTTTGACCCCAAATTATTTTCTTTTTATCTCTTACAGAAAAGTGGGGTCCCGGTTGCAGAGATCTGCAAGCACCGCTTCATGCTATACAACAAAGATGCCACACAGCACCTCTTTGAGGTATCAGCCGGGCTGGACTCTTTAGTTCTGGGAGAAGGTCAAATTCTAGCACAGGTTAAGCATGTTGTCAAGGTGGGCCAGGGGGTGACTGGCTTTGGGAGGAACATCAGCGGACTGTTCAAACACGCCATCACCGTGGGGAAGAGAGTCAGAACTGAAACAAATATTGCAGCAGGGGCGGTTTCTGTCAGTTCAGCCGCTGTAGAACTGGCATTGATGAAGCTTCCAGACTCTTCACATGCTAGTGCTAGGATGTTGGTCATTGGGGCAGGCAAGATGGGGAAGCTCGTGATCAAGCACTTGATCGCAAAGGGCTGTACAAAAATGGTGGTCGTTAATAGAAGCGAGGACAGAGTTGCCGCCATCCGGGAAGAGATGACAAAGGATGTCGAAATTACATATAAACCCCTAGAAGACATGTTGCAGTGTGCCTCAAATGCTGATGTCATCTTCACCAGCACAGCCTCAGAAACCCCATTGTTTCTCAAAGACCATGTCCATGCTCTTCCTCCCGTAGGCTCTACTGTTGGAGGGCTAAGGCTATTCGTTGACATATCAGTTCCTAGAAACGTCGGTGCTTGTGTGGATGAGCTTGAGACTGCCCAAGTCTACAACGTGGATGATCTCAAGGAGGTAGTGGCTGCAAATAAAGAGGACCGTCTCCGAAAAGCAATGGAAGCTCAAGCAATCATATCCGAGGAATCAAAACAGTTCGAAGCCTGGAGGGACTCACTGGAAACGGTACCCACCATCAAGAAGCTGAGGGCTTACGCTGAAAGGATCAGAGCAGCTGAGCTGGAGAAATGCTTGTCGAAAATGGGAGATGATGTCACAAAGAAGACAAGGAAGGCAGTGGATGATATGAGCAGAGGAATAGTCAATAAGATCCTTCACGGTCCCATGCAGCATCTGAGGTGTGATGGGAGTGACAGTCGGACTTTGAGCGAGACCCTTGAGAACATGCATGCCCTAAACCGGATGTTTAACCTTGAGACTGAAATATCAGTGTTGGAACAGAAGATTAGAGCCAAGGTAGAGCAAGCTCAGAAGTGAGGACAACCTGGGTCTTGCTAATGACTAATGCACTGCAACCATTTTCGCTTTAGAAGTAAAAAATCTCAGATGTGTGTAGGAAAGAATATCAAAGCCTGCATGCATCCTGTGTTGATTCTGATGTACATTTGAGACCAGCCTATACACATTCTTCGTTTGTATTCTGCTGATTTCTCCCATGCACGTAATGGTCGGTTTGCTGGAGTTCTTAACTGAAATGAGCTCATGGAAACTGTTCATAATAAATATTACTACAGATTTGTAACTAAGGCATCGTTCACTTATTTTTGTAACTAATGCACGGTTCAGTTATTGTTCTTCATTCAACTTTTATTGCGGAGTGTTTATTAAAATTCGATTTAGAACATCCTTTAATTAGGCATACATATTTAGAGTTCATTTTGTAGCCCCAAATTTGAGTTTACCAATTTAATCTGTCAACTTTTTATTATCAAATAAGTAATTTTTCATTTCACGAGTTGAATTATGTAATAATAAAAACAATTAAAGTTAGTGTTACATTTTTTTACTTAATTGACCTAAGTTACTGTAAAACAGAATTTTAACTATTTTCATATAATTTTTCTTTATTCTATTCTTTTTACTAAGTATTTTGACCTAAGTATATCATAAAAACAAATTCTTTATTCTATTTATAAAATGTATTTTAAATATAAATATTCAATAATTCAATTACATAATATATATAAACCTGAACTACTCAAATTATACTCTAATACCGTAATTGATTATTTAAAAATTGCACTTTGTATCATTTTTCAATAAGAACCTTAAAGCGAGATAAACGTGGTAGTATGTTATGTAAATCATAAAGAGTGTAATAAAATGGATTTAGTGTATTGTAGGGAACTAGGGATTGTATAACAAATAAATGCAATAAATGGAATCCGCTCTTTTAAAATGTACCTGCTTTTGCTCTTTTAAGATGTACTTGCTTTTTGAAGATTTTTTCGCGATACACCTCCCAATTTATCCTGGAAAATTAATGTGCACATAATATTATTACACAAATTGTACACAATCCTCTAGTTGCTTTTGCTTGTGTACACAGACTTTTGAAAAAAAAGTAGGATTTTATGCCAAAATGTCTGTGTACACAGACAATATACCATTTGTGTATAAGTATTATGTAAAATCAGAATTACCCTTTTATATATGTTTCGAGACACATTATTTTTCAATATCACAAAGAAATCATCTTAAAAGCGATATAGTTATCTGTTGCACACATTAAACGAAGGAGTAAGTTTATGGAACCCCCATATGACTCCCTTATGGAGTCGCATGAGGTATTGTGGCACCATCTTTATCATTCAATTTTTAAGTGGAGTGCCTCACCTTAAAATTGAATGGTAAAGATAATGCCACGGTAGCCATGTGACTCCATAAGGGAGCCATATGGGATTCCACAAAATTTTTGTAAAATGGAGTATGTACGACATATGAAGCGGTACACAAACCTACTTTCCTTTTTTTAAAGGGTAGTTAGGGGGATTTTTTAAAACAACAATTCTTGTTGTACACACTTTACTGTTTACATATTGTCTGTGACAGACAAAAAGTCTTCACATGCAGTGTGTACAAGTGAGTAAACTATAAAGTGTGTACAAAAGGCTTTTTTGTTTCTAAAAGAAAATTTGCCTCCCATGATGATGAAACCAGATGTGATGTTTTAAGGTGTCCTATCAAAATGTTCACTCTAATTTTCTTTTAATCACATTGAGGAGGAATATTCTCACACAACCGGACCGATCAGAAGTTTCGTGCGAACGACGCCATTTGAGAGCTTCCTGGTTGATTTTTTTTTTTTATAAAATTTGTAAGCATGTTTCTCAAGATGTGTAGATTATATCCACAACAATTCGGCTTAGAATTCAATCGGAATCTAGTTTAATAAATTGGTGTAAAACATTGCGATTTGTGCATGTTTTTGCGCAGTGTGTTTCAGTAATTTATTTAACAAACTTTTTGATTGAATTATAATATGAAATTTTGTAGAGATAATCTACACTTCATTAGGAACATTCTCACAAAGTTTTATAAAAAAATTGCACCAGAAATCCCCTCAAACGACGTTGAGCGCACAATACTTCCGATCGATCCGGACTAACAGGAGCAATACTCTCACGTACAGTACTTTTGTTTGGTACCTTATGACAATGAGTGCCAAAATTTTAAGGAAACACATATGACTCTCTTATATAGAGTCATATGGTCTTTTGTAACATCACCATCACCATCACCATCTACTAAATAATTGTGTGATTGTAGTAATGCATTATGTAGTGGATCCCTTATAGATCATATGCTTCTATAAGAGGATCATATGTGTTTCCCTAAAACTTCTCCAATTAGCACCATATTAGTATGGTATCCAGATGGTGTGACAAAGATTTTGGGCATTATGTGAATTGTGTACAGTTAAAGTTCGGGAAAATTGCACTTTTAGTCCCTGAAATAGTCACCACATTGAAATGTCAGACCCGTGTTTTCGAGTTTGTAAATGTCACCCCTCAATTATCCAAATTGTTGTAAATGTGGTCCTTTGAGGGGTGAAATGTACAATGTGAGCGAGGAGTACAGTTCACCCCCCAAAGGACCACATTTACAGCAATTTGGACAATTGAGATGTGACATTTACTATCACGGGTCTGACATTTCAATATGGTATTAGATTGTACACATATCAAAATAGTTAAAATTGAAATTATTTTTCTATTAAGTTTACCGAAAATGGTAATTTTAATTAGTTGTTTCTCGTATGATTTTATCTTTAACTATTTTATTAATACATACTAACATATTCCTTGAGTCTCACAAAAATTTATAATTTTTCCTTTTTAGTCATCTAAAAAAAGGTTATAAATTTCATTTAAAGTGAAGTATTAAATGTATAATTAAAGCTGATTCTCTGATCACGTTAATCTCAATCACACAATATTGTTGAAGTAGATTACTCCTTCAATGGATATATTCACCGTTTATCAACAATTGATCACCAATTACATTCATCATATGCTTACATCTCTTCCCAAAAGAGATGTGGCTCTCAATAAAATTTGTATGTCAAAGAGCACATACAATTTCTAGCACTCTAGCATCCTCCGGCCCCTAATCCTCCCTGAGAATAGGCATGGGCCTGGTCCAAAACCGGCTCCGGCCCTATTTGGGTCGGACATGGTCCATTTTTTCGGTTCCGGGTTTAGGACAGGCCCTATCCGCCCAAGAGGGGTACCCAATCCTGGTTCACATCTTTGAGGACCAAACCAAACGAATCCAATCCCAATTTTGGTCCTGACTGGCAATATTTTTTAAGATCAGGAACTAGGTAAAATTAACAAAAATAATGGGACCAGACCCGTAAAATAGTGGGTCGGTCCCGCGCTGCTGCAAGGACCAGGCGGTCTCAGCCTGGAACCGGGACCAGACCGAGTCTCAAGAGGATTTGTGCCTTTGTGTTATGAAGTCTGAACCAGACTTCCAAAGCAAGTGAGCATATTTATGAAGTATAGTGATGTATTCGTCTATGTTTACTTTTAACTTGATGTGCATTGAAATTTGCTACAAAGAAACGTCACAAATACTGGTCCATAAGGTGAATGTAAACGAGAGTAATAATGTTAAGAGTCCCCACATGTCCATGTTAATGCTTCAACTGTCTAATGACATACAGAAAGCAGCATTTAGAAAATTTTATAAGGCAGATGTTAATTATCCAAGGAAGTTCATGATCACCAAATGGAGCACTAGATTGCAGAGAACAAAATCTGCATAAGCTCTTTCAGGAGGTAGATCCTGAAATATTAACAACACAAACATAACAACATTATCATGATTTGTCAATATTCTACAAATAAGAAATTCGAAAAATAACTCATCATTTTCATGTACCCCAGTGCCGCAAAGGCTCCCACAAAGAGACTGTTTCCGGATGACCCATGGTGAAAATCGAGTCCAAAATTGCATGGACTGACTGCTGCTTCATAACAAAGAAGCGCAGACAGTTTAGTGAGCCATTTTGCTTTATTCCATCATATTCTCAAGCCAAAAAATAATGAATCTTTGGCTCTGTTGCAAATGATGGAAAAAATTCGAAAAATAACTGATGAACCAATAATTTCTCAGTTCCGCTATTCAGACCACTACTTAAATATCATGAATTTAGACTCTGCTTGGTAGTCAAATGTGGCTTATTCAGCCCATCTCCGAAATAAAGAGCTTGTGGACAACTCATTTGGCCTAAAATGTACCTTACCAAATGTTTTCCTCTCAGTAACTTCGGCAGCTTCGGCCATTTCAGCCATATAGCCCTTACCAAGCGGGCCAGAGAACGCAATTTCTCTAAGTTACTTTCGTAGTTAGGTTTGTGATCTTTGAAATAACTCACAGGAGAATGATATCTCACTTTCCCATTTAGTAGGGCATAAATAATTAAATAGGGAAACGATATGCCTTAGTTGAGATGTAAGAGACTGCTTACCTTGAACTCCTTGTTGTCTTTGTTTACTTGGATTCTAAGACAAACTGTGAACAAAGAATCCAACTCCTTTGTTATTAGCTAATTCTTAACAAAAGATTTAATTGCAGTGAAAACATAGATTATAGTGCTCACCAGCTAGGACTGCTGTCCCTATACAAGAAAGTACACCTGAGAGAAAGGAATTGAATGGAAATGTTCCAACAATGGCCATATATATGACCTAGTAGTATGAACAACAATTACAGATACATCAATGGGTATAAGGATATGAATTTTTCAGGTCAAGATAAACTAGGCATCAATGCTAAATGATGCATGAGCATAAAAGTTGGAAATTAGTTACAAAGAAAAAGGGAAAATTCAGACCATAGTGAAATTATTTTATAAAACCATGCTCTAAAAACAGTGCATCTATGATCTATCCATACCGAGACAGCACTTGTAGGGTTCCTTTGGAAGTTGGAACTCATAAAAGTTAAGGTAAGAAAATGTACAAGGAGAAATTGGAATGAAATAAAATGTGAGGTAAAATGAGACATTTGTTTAAACTCAATTTATTTTATGTTTGTTCTGACTCAATTTGTTTATCTAATTCTATTATATAAGGACAAAGAATTTTAAACTGCAAAACATATTGGAATGACTTAAAACAGCAATCATATACTGTCATTTTCCATGGTAAAAGCAAACAGGAAAATAAATTCTTAATATCTTGTTTTTCTTTTCTTGAAAATAGGTACGGGAGGGCACATGTCACATTGACACATTGTAATAGATGCACCTTAAGACTCCAAAAGAAATGTCATTTTGTAGAAAATCTTACTGGACAGGAAGTTAAAGCAGATAATAAACATTTCTATCGAAAAAGATATTTATAAAATCACCTAACCAATCCAGATGATGCTCTCATGGATTTATATGTCCTATTTGATGTCAAGTATTGCTCTTGAGATAACAATCTCTAGTTGGAAATAAATTCAAAGAGAACATAACATCTTTTGGACTCGATTGCGATTAACTCCATGTGTTGACCATGAATCATTTGAAGGTTGACTCATAGGTAATCACATCATGTTAACAAATAATTTTACCAGAGAATGGGACAAAGTGACACAAAAACAAAAAAAGTCAAATCACCTGAATGAGAGCGGTGAAGAGAGCAAACATGATATAGAGATCAATGATCTGCAAAGGAAAAACAATTGCTGATTTAGACACATCTCCGATACCCCTAGGCGAAAAGTGAAAACATACGAATAATAGGGAGGAGGATGTATGCACCTTGAGGTTAGTAGGTGTGGCGGCATAAGCAGAATGCAGAGATTGGAATAGTGCTTGAACATCCTTACTGGTTGACGATTTCGCCATTTCTATGAAAATACTCTCTCTCTCTCTCTCTACGATCTCTGTGAAGGATTTGACTGTGCTCCAAAGACTCCAGTCTAAAATAGTAACAGTAAGAATAGTAATAATAAAAACAATAATTTTAAACATCAACATGGATATTGAATGTAGTTTAATTAAAACTAGTTAAAAATCTCTATCGTAATGAAGAAAAGAAGATTGAATATGATTAAAAATCGACAATTCAAAAAAGAGCAAAATACTGTTTATTCATATATTTGAACGATATATTATGAAATATATTTAGTATGAAATCAAATTCATTGCCAAAACAAGTTTAGCATTAAATAAATGTAATATTTCTAATACTTCTATGTTTTTGCACTTTTCGAACATGAAAAAAGTAAGCAAAAAAATTTAAAGCACTTAATGATTGGTTGAGATGTTGAAAAGTGATAATAATGTTTGAGGGTGTTACTCCTAACCTCCAACACCTAAACTAATCACTTTTCAAACACCCCAATTTGGAATGTATTGAGGGATAGGAAAACGTTTATCATTCTTATTTGAAAAATATATTCGAAACACCCCAATTTAAAATATATTCTACTTCCACAAGTTGGTTCCCATCTCTTCTTCTTCCCCCAAGTCCCAAGCAAATATCTCCTTTACTATCAAGGTCTCATTCTTGACATCATAAAGCTCGAGAGCAGATTTTTTTCATAATTAGTTTTCAAATGGATTTATTGTCACCCCAAACTTCAACTTTTTACATATAATGGGGACATGGGGTGAAACTAAGGTTTGTAGTTCTTATTTCTAATTCAGAATTTTGATCTTAGAGTTTTAAGATCATCTTGCTCCTAAATACAAACAGAAAGTTGATAGAAGATTATGATTTGCGTGTTTAGTTTGGACTAGACCTTGTACAAAGGCCCTTAAAATTGTCAGCGGCAGCACTTTTGATCGCTTACACGACGGCCACCACGACTTTCCCAAGGTTCCCTGACTCCTCACATTCGCTTACAGACTGTTAGATATAAAGTTCTATAGCTCTTAAGGTGAATTGTGTGTATCACTTGTGAGACATTGTGTTGCCTTCCCAAATATAGTGATGGAATGGATGGTTATGCCTGTTACTCCAATTCATTTAAAATTACAAAATTGGGAACTAAAATCCTTTTACATTTTTTTCTCAGTCCTTGTTTCTCTTGATATATAAGACATAAGGTTTTTAATGTGGGTAATTTCTATGTCCAAAAGATTTCTCAAGAGGTGATGCTTAAATCATACTTGTATACTAGACTCAACCCCCTGGTAGACAACCAATGTGGGATGCTCATACGCCCCTCAGCTGAAGTCAAAATAGACAACTGAAATAGGTGGACAAATCGGTCCGAACCAATGACCACCAAGCGGGTTGGCCCAAACCGTCAGATGGACAGGCGAAGCAAAAACCGCCTACTGACCAAATTTTGCTATCAATATGTATCGAGTATAAGTAAAACGTTAAAGCATGGAACTATGGTAATATTGTACTACGTATATTGTAATACATATCCTATTACTTCAGATTGATAAGCTGCTTATATCGGAAAATAACAGGCCCTAACTCCCCAGTCCCCAGTTAAGGTCTCTACTACCACAGCTTACCTCATTACTTATATTTTATCAAGGTTTACCTCACGCCAAGATACTAGACTAAAACTAGGTAATCAATACAGATACTCCACATTTACCAAGCTACAAGTGTCCAATGAAAAGATGAAAACAATTGCCTTTTCATTTTGGGACTTTTATTACGTTTTCAAGTTAATTACGAATTAAATACATTATTTTTCACAACGTTTCATAACTGCATACACGGATAATAACCTTTGACCATACTTGGTTATTTCAACATTAGTTACTTCATATCAAATACATAGTTATGCACGCATTATTAAGAGTAGGGTTGGTTCGTTCCTATGCATATTCAGGTCTCAACAACAAGCGGGATCAAAAGTCTTCCAGATAGTTTGGAATGTATCCTTCACGATTCAGAGTTATTTTTTAAAATATTCATTTAAATATAGGACTTCTTTATGATAACAGTGGTGCACAGAAAGAGTTGTTCAGCCTTTTAGACATGAAAGTTGGGTTAAGTATTTGGAAGCTTACAAGTGCTGATATCGGTTTAAGGCAGATGGGGGAGTCATTTGGAAGTCAGGTTAGAACTTAGAAGCTTAATCTACTTATCATATTATATTCAACATAATATTCATCGAGGTTCAATACTATTATAAGCAAGTGATTTAGAGATAATGCTATTGCTAATATAATGATTTTAGGAAGTGAGTGCTAGTGAATGTGTATGGAAAGAGGTGCAATTTGTTAAGGTTGGTGTAAATGAACAACTCTACATGACTGACATGGGGGTTACAGCTACTCCAAACATTTCAGACAAGAAAAATGGGAAAGGGCAGCAAGGTTTGAAGATGCTTTGGAATAAGCAAGAAACTTATAGAAAGCATCAAAGTGAAGATTGAGAAGTGATGAAAACACATTCTAGCAGCCTCCTTTAGTATTTCATTAGCCGTTATGTTTCCCTATTCACAGTCCAATTATGTTTTTGTATTACAAGTCCTGTTAAGTGTCCCTATTTCATGTTGTCAAGTGGTATTTAAGGAAGATGAAAGTATGAGTACAACCATACAGCCCAAGCCTGCTATGCATGAGCTTCGAGGTACTACATATCTCTATATACAGGGGCGGATTTAGCTTTGCGATCCGGGGCCAGGGGTCCAAATTTAATTAAGTAACGTATATTGCCCAAAAAAAGTCAAAATGTAATACTCCCTCCGTTCTTTATTATCTGTCCTCTTAGGCTTTGGCACGGGTTTTAAGAGGAAAATAGTAGGGGTAGTGTAAAAGGTGTAATGAGTAGTGGGTAAATGAAAAAGTAGGAAAGAGAAAGGGGTAATGGTAATAAAAGTGGGGGTATAAAGGTATATTTAAAGTAAAAACTTTCCTTAAATGGAAAGGAGGACAAGTAAAAAAAAAACGTCCCAAAAAGGAAAGAAGGACTTTTATTAAAGAACGGAGGGAGTATAATAATGTGTATTTAACAAAATTTATTTTCAAGTATAAATAACATATACTGCAACAAATTTATCAATGATGGAAATAAATATTATAGGAATAAGAGTTTTTATCCAAATCAAATACAAAAAGAACACAATTTTACAACTGTTCTGTACGCGTTTTCATCGATTGATATCTTGATTAGCTCCTACTCAAAGTCTTAAACAGGGTTATAGTATCTCTTTATTACATATTTACATTAATAATAACGAGTCACATTAGAACGTACGACTCACAAATCACAAATAGTTAAATGAATCAAATTGAATATAATTCAATATAACACATTAGAGTCCAAGAATCACAATTCACAAATCATATTGATTTCCCCGAATAAATCATGCTCACAAATAACACACTTACACACCTAAATTGAATATAAAATATACAATACAACTAAACAATTAACAAACTTACAGGAAATTGGGCGAAGACCAGATGAGACTGATAAGTCAATAACCAAATTGGGTCTAGAAAAAATTGGGCCTAGAAAAAATTGAGACAAAATCATAAGTCAAGAACCAATTTGGGTCTACAAAAAAATTGAGAAATACTAGTTCTTTATAATTAAAGTACCAGATGGGTATTACGTATTAACTCTATCTACTTCCATGAAATTGGAAAGCTGGAATTCGAAATAGGTATTGAATTTTCCATTAATTCATTCATACCCAACAGGCAGTTAGAAACAACTTTAGGGGGAGCTCAGCTTTTTCGGTACTTCAAGAACACCAAAGCCTCCAACTTCAAGAACTGAATATCAAGAAGCTAAAGTTTAAAAGCCTAAAATGGAATTGAAATTACAGAAACGAAGGGTAAAGGTAGAAACCTTGGGCCTAGTTATTTTCTTTTGTTAGTTATCTTTTTGTACTGTAATTTCTTAATTTTATGAATAAAATTGTTTGCTTTAAAAAAAAGTAGAAACCTGTTAGTGCCCGCGTGTCAGTGTCCTTGCTGTGCCGCTGTGATTAGAAGAGAGCTGACACGTGTCTGCGTGTCAACGCCAGCGCCAGCATGGACTGTGTGTGTCTCATCACTAGGTAGGGTATGTTTGGTTCAAGAAATGTCTGATAATCTTAGATTACTGGATATGTTAGATAGATGAGAATGTGATTAATGTATAGCTCATTTGTGTTTGGTTACGATTAAGGGAATGTCACGTTAAGTTGTTTGGTTGAATGAATCTTATATTGCATATTTGGTGAATTACTTGAATGCCCTTTAAATATTTGTCTTTTAACACATTAAACTTATCAATTATTTAATGAGTTTCATGCACAATATGGTAACACACCCCCTTCCCAGACACAAACATCTACATCTAAAGGAAAATCATTTTTGAAATCTACATTTGACAATCTTATGAAAAAAGTGAATCAACTCTGTTGTTGAACAAAGCTCAGTTAACGAGCTTTCTATGTATCTAAAATTTCCTGTTGATTATGAAGAAGATGGTGACTTTGACATTCTAAAGTGGTTGAAGGATAAAGAAAGAACGCTCCCGATTTTATCAAAGATGGCTAAGCAAGTGCTATCAATCCTGGTTTCAACAGTTGCCGTGGAACAAGAATTTAGTGCGGTCGGCAACGTGTTAACGGATTATAGAACGAGATTGAGTGCAAACTCTCTTGAGACGCTTGTTTGCTACCACGATTGGTTGAAGGCCCAATGTAGAACTCAAGAACTTAGCATCACCCCCACCCAACACTTTATGGAGGAAACAACAACCGACGGTGGCAGAGATTCCGATTGATTATTATTTATTAGAAAATGTATTTCATTTTTTAATTTTTTTCTCAATTCTCAATTGTAGTTCATGTTTCAAATAAATATACTTTAAGTTTTTTATATGTAACACTTCTTGAATTAATTTTTAAACATGAATTAAAAAAAACGTACCCGGCCCGGCCTGCTACCCGGGCAGGTAGACCGGCTTGAACCGGTACTGGTCAATAGCCGGGCCGGTCCAGGGCTTCATTCCCAAAAAGACAAGCTCGGCCAGGCCCGACTCGGAACTGGACCGGGCCCGATCCACCCCTAGATATGTCGATTAATGAAGCATGGGTTTTTTTGGAAGAAAATTATAAGGCACCGGGAATCTTACAAAACCTAAGGCATTGGTGGGTTTGGCATGCCTGGTAATGTGATCACATTTTCCACTTTTGGGAATGTAACATTCCCAAAAGAAAAATCAAACACGCGAACCAAACATAAGTATTGGTATTGCCTTGAACCAGATGTAACATTCTGGGCATGAGATTCCGCCCTGTATCAGATATCACCTTCAACCAAACACTCCCTCATGGCATTGCCGTATTGGTATGTGACTATCTGACTCCGTGGGGATAGTATTTTGTAGGGGTGGGCAAAAATATCGAACCGGCATGGTACCGAACCGGACCGATATGGTACCAGCCCGAATAACAGGGTTCAAAAGGGTTCTCAAAATTTTTGTCCCGAATCGAATCGTACTGGTTCCAAACCATGCCATGACCGGTTCTCGTAAATTGAGAACCGGTACCGGACCGAATTATGATTTATATAATTAATGATTTTATAATTTTGTACATGTATACCATTTGATTACTCCTCCCGGTTTTGCACTTTGAAGATGAAGAGGATATTTGAGAATCGGGAGATTCATGTTCTGTCATTTGCGTTTTGTACTACTATAATTTAATTTAAAAGAGCAGCAAATTGAAGATCGTTTGCCATACAGTGAGTATGAAGATACTTTACCTGTTAAATACGAAGTAGTTAATGCCTTTAATGTATTATATGGGTTCTTTTTTAAACCTTTGCAATGCAAGTATTTCCAGGAGACCCGATGTGTATGAGTGAGAAGCCAATGGTGCTTGAAGAGTTGTGGTCGTGAACGTTTTGTGATATATGTTTCGTATTACTATAGTTTATTTGAAATTTATTAATTATGTAATATGAAAATTGATAAATTGTGTGGATTTTTGCCTTTTTGGATTACGACTAAACTTTAATTTGTCGAAAAAAGTTGCATTATTTGATATTGGTGTGCCATGGTACCGTACCGTTTGAAATTGGAACCGTACCGAACAGGTTTAGGTCTAAGACCGAACCGAACCGAACCGTTTCAATAGTAACGGTCCGGGTACGGGTTCGATAAAATATTGGACCGGACCGGACCGCGTCCACCCCTAGTATTTTGGGATTTTGATTTTTGGGCTTTGCTTGCTTGGAAGATGGATTCCGGCCGAACGGGATTTCTAGGGTGGCCTTGGTTTTTTATTAATTTTTTTTTAGGCTGGGACTGATTTATATATATACTACTCCCAACGTATAAAAGATATTCCCACTTTGAAAGTAGGTAGTTTATAGATAACCAAAGGAGATATGAAGTATAAATTAATGATGGTATGCTGGGAAGATAATGAAATTGTGTAATAGAATAAAGAACAAATTTTAAAAAGTAATTATAATAATGTATTATTTTCAAAATTATTAAGGGTATGATGGGAAAATTTAGAAATGAGATGATCTTTTTGTTACAAATTAAAGAGGGAAGTGGGAAGTTCTTTTCTTTATAAACTTATAATGGTAGTACTGGTTAAAAACAAATGTTTGAGGGCGGGCTTGGCCCTCCCCTAACCCGTAGCCCAATCCGTCTCTGTCTAAATACATAAATCTATAGGTAGTAATGATTTTTTCAAATCCCGACATGTTACCATTTTAGTCACAGGCATGAATGCGTCGAAAATCATAGAATTCATAAACACTTATACTTGAGTAAGAATTATAATCCTAACATGCTAAATAATTTACTCTCAGAAGGAATATTTAAATACTGCAAAACTATATGGATTATATCAAAAGAGAATGTTGAGGCTAATTAGCTGAATTTATATTTACAAAGTGTGCCAACTTAGCATTACAATAATAAAAAAATCCTTAAAATGAACTTCCACATCCAGATTATATGAATAAAGTTTAAGCTGAATATTTTTTTCTTTTTTCTTTTTTACTCCAACGAGGGTCTGGGGGCCTGGAGTAATCAGGGCTGAAACTCGCTCAATTGAGTTTCGAACCCTTATGTGCCTAGCAAGTTTCGAACTCGAGACCTCTCACTAGACATGCTGGACTGAAATGCTTGGTTAGCTGAATATTTATAATATAAGATTCATTCTGATGGGAGTGACTTTCATGCATCCTGCTACCATTAATATTGATATGCACATATATGTTGATTTAAACAAATTCTTTTCACCAATATGATTATATATTTTACTACATAACTTTTAATCAATATCACCATATTGATTGTTTACTCTGACACATCATTGATGAGTACACATATATCATGTAATTGGCAATCATGAACTTTGCTCAGTCTTCTCAAGCTTCTAATGTTGCTGAATATGTTAATACTACAATTAAGAGAAAATCAAATGATATAGGATGAACATGGAAAGGAACATAGGTCCTACCAAAAAACTTTAGTGTGGTGTAAGTTTTTTTTATAAGAAAATGTCTAGAGGGGTTCACCGTCTTAGAGAACACCTTGCCCAGGTCAAGGGAAGTGTTTCTTGTAACAAGGTGACCATTGAAATAATGAAGATAGTTCCAAAATCAATGCTTGAAAAAAAATCCACCAAGACAAAGAAAGCTATAATTGACAGTACTATTGAGAGGGAATATGCTTTCTTGGATGGGGATGATGAAACTGGGCTTGGTGTCGATGGTGATGACCAAACAGAAGGTGGACCCACAGTTTCAACCTTTAGATCAGTGACACAAATGCTTCTAAGACGAAAATTAAACAATATAATCCACTGGGAGAGGTAGTGACACAAATGCTTCTAAGATGAAAATTAAACAATATAATCCATTCAACGATGTTAGAGTCTCAGTGGATGCCTTATTAAAGCCCGACTATGAGAGATGAAACAACCAATGTTGGATAAAAACAACCAAAATTGAAATTAAAGGATATTGCATGAGTTAAATTTGCAGAATGGGGATACGAGGTTGGTTAGCTTTTATGCTGTTAGAACACCACTAGGTCTTTATTCATGCAGTTGGAGACTATGGAAGAGGTAAATAATTGTATAATATCCTTAATTTTTAGTCCAATACTCTGAAATTTTATTCTTAATTTCTTATCTTGCCATCAATATCGTCACTCTATTATGTCAGTTTTTTGGGCAGATGGTAAAGGAAGGACATTGATCAACTTTTTGGTAAACTGTATAAAAGGAATAATTTTTTTGAAGTCTGTAGATACATCAGAACATTTTGGGTTGATTAATGAGATTATTGAACATGTGGGAGAGGACCATATAGTTCATGTGATCTTTTAAACTTGTACATTTATTGTCTATACGTAATCTTCTACTCAATTATTAATACTAATTTCAGTTTTTCCCCATGCTAATACTTAATAGTTCATCACCGATAATGGATCTAACTTCAAGGCAGTTAGAAGGATTTTAGAAGAACAACATCCTAAGATATTTTGGACCCCTTGTGCAGCACATTGCGTGAACTTTATATTGCAAGATCTTGGTGATGAGTACGTCAAGATAAGAAGTGTCTTACGTGAAGGCAAAGCAATTGATGTTTATATTTATAACCATGGGAGGATATTAAGCCTAATACGGAAGTTAACAAGCGGGATAGAGTTGCATATATCGTGCGTAACTTGGTTTGTTACTACTTTTTACACTCTTAAGAGTATATGGGAGAAGAGGTGTCACTTATAAGTTTTATTTGTTTCTAAAAATTGACTAAAAGTGAGCTTGCACAGGAGGTTGAAGAAAAAATGCAATGATAGTGACAAGACAGACACGTTGAGATAATGTTTATTTTACTTGTCAAGTCTTGGCCTCACTATTTCTTATCTTAAAAAATTTA